ATCTATCCTGTCCCACTCGACCCTGATTAAAACCAACTCCTCTCAGTTTTTACATCGTTGGTGTACTTCATTGCTCATCAACTTTTGGGTGTAAAATACATTCTCTAGAGGGCTATGTGCCAAAGAATGGAAACCTACACTATGGGCCTTTCACACATACACTACGTGACAGACTAATAAACCCTAAAATATATGGCCTGTCATAATTTGAAATAGAAAATACGCAATCTTTAACCATAACGTGTTGACAAAGGGGACATGTATAGCTGGATATATATGTTCCATTATTTGAAATAGAAAATATGCAATCTTTGAATTATGCACCACCACCCCACCATCACCTTAGCTATGTTGTGCTACACATTGCTTTAACTTAAATAAAAAAATATTATTAATACAAATCTTATATAAACGATTTGAAACGTCATATTAATTTTTCTATATCCAAAAAATTAAACAAGAACTAAAAATGGGGATCATCCAATGATTGAAAAGATTCCACTTTGTCTATTCATAAAAGTATTACCTTCGTCTATTCAATGGACATGAAGGGGTATTCTTTCTCATCCAGCAAGTTGAAGAGAAAGAGTCAATGCTATTGGTTTCAGCTTGTAATCATACAAAGTATCATTTTTTATTCACTTATATAATGGAATGAATTGTTATGTGATAAATAAATGCAAGTGTTATTGTTGACATACTGCTCATCAACCAACACAATCTCCTTGATGTTTTTATCCCCCCCCCCCTCTTTTGTGGGAATGACTTCTTTTGGGAGTTTATCTATCACAACACCCAGAAGTGCTGTGGAGAAAATAAAATTTCAAAAAATGGCTACACGTGAGGGGCATAGATCTAACCAAATTTAATGTATAGATTTTTAAAGGGTTAACTTACATATTTCAACGACGGATTTCATGCAGCGGTAAACATCATAGAAAGCGTTGTACACTTTGTTATTCGCATCGATGAAACCAGATAATATATCCATCAATGTCGATGTGTCAGACACTATATTTCAAGATGTGCTCAAAAGTGTGGATCAACCTTTATATTCTGATTGTGTGGTGGACCCGGTTCGGGCCACCTGGCCCGTGAACCGGCCTAGCCCGCTACTGTGCGGGCCCGGGACCGGCCTGATCTGGCGGTCCGGGACCGGGTGGTGATCCGAACCGGTGGGATAGCGGGGGGGGGGGGGGGGGCACGGGTAGGGCAAATGGGGACCCAACCCGGTTCGAGCCCAATTCTTTTTTTTTTTTTCATTATTTTTGGGTTTCCATTGGATTGGGCTGGGTGTTTTGAAGGGGTTTGGGGGGGGCGGGGGAGGTCAGGGGTAGTTAGGAAAGCAAAAAAAAATACATTCGACCCGACCCGGCCCGTCCCGGACCCGATGGATACCTGTGCCGGTCCCGGGACTACCCATTAAAACTCAAAGGCCTGCCGGGCCCGACTCGACCCGGGTCCATACCTAATTGTGACAGTCATTCAAAATTATCAGCAATTTCTGAACTTTTGAGAACTGGATGTCTAAATATTAGACTCATTTGGTAGCATGTTACCGCGTGACCATTGTTTTCACGATACTTACTACAACATGAAAAAGTTCGTATTAGAATTAGGTCTTCCTATGATAAACATTCATGCATGCCCTAAAGGATGTATGTTGTTTTGGAAGAACGATGAAACATTGAATCAATGGTGTATGTTTTGTATTGCAGATAGGTACAAGCCTATATCAGTTATGAGTAAAAACCAATGAAAAAGATATGCAACATCTAAGTTGACATATCTTCCTGTAGCACCATAATTGCAAAGATTATATGCCTCAAGCGTTACTGTTAAACACATAATGTGGCATGTAGAGCATAACACTGAAAGTGAGCTAATGTGTCACCCATCAGATTCCTAGGCATGGAAGCATTTTGACCAATGATATCCTCAATTTGTTGTAGAGCCACACAACGTGAGACTTGGGTTATGTGTTGATGGCCAATCATCATTACACTATATACCCCCCCGGACATGTGTATGAGACAACATTTTATGTTTTTAACCTTGATGTATCCAGGACCCAGTAATCCAAAGGAAAAAATGGATGTGTACTTGCAAACATTGGTGGAAGAGGTGAAACATCTATGGGATGTTGGTATTCCTACATACTATGTTTCGAGAGATCAAATATTTAATATGAAAGCTGTAATCTTGTGGACAATTAGTGATTTCCGGCATACAAAATGCTTTCTTGATGGAGCATTGAAGGTCTTATGGAGTGTCCTGTTTGATTGGAAAAGTCAAATGCATTTTGGCTAAAGAATAGCCGCATACCATCTTACCTTTACTATCACCGTAGACTTCGCCCTCAAAATCATCCATATCAGAAGGATAAAAAGTCATTCATCATGGATCTCATTGAGTGTGATCCTCAACTCTGAGGATGACAGATATCAAATTTATCATCATATTCGAAACATCCCTTCTGCCATAGATGATCCTCTTGAGTATCCAGATGAATATCAAACCCGTCATAAGTGGACAACAAAGTATTTTATGGAAATTGCCGTATTGGAAAGATCTTCTCATTATGCATCATGTGGATGTAATGCATATTGAGAAAAATGTTTTTGATAAGTTTTTTTAACATAGTGATGAACTTCAAAGGAAAGACTAAGGATGCCCTATCATCAAGAAAGGATGTAACATTGTATTGTGATAGAATGAAAATTGCTATGAGCCTTGAGTATGTTGGTCCATTCAAGAAAGAAGTTTATCAAATCGCGAACGAACAAAAGAAAACAATATTGAAGTGGTTCATTTAGCTATAATTTCCTTATGGATACACTTCTAGTTTTTGGCGATGTGTTGACTTTGAAAAGTTGTTGATGAAGAATATGAATGGGAGTACGGATTTGTGAGGTACAAAATTTACTATGCATTTTCTAATAATTCATAGATTATTGAGGTGTACAAAAAATTTTATGTGCCAAAGGCCGGTGATCATCCTCCACGTGTTGTTGAAACCCGGGTGTGTTACTATTAAATATGTTTATATTCTGAAATGTTATTTTTTTCCCATATTGGCTAATTAATTTTCTTATGTGGCAGAAAAAGTGCAATGATTTGAAAGCACAAGGTGAGTCTGAGTGAAAGTGGTGTGATCAAGATGATGCATAGAGGGCGTCGGTATGGAAGCGGATCAGAAGTTGAATCGCTTGATAGTGTGAATTGTTCTAACCGTGTCCCGGGGCCAATTCAAGAAAAGATAGATTTGCGCATTCGGGAGCAAGTTATAGTGGAGCAAGTTGAATCTCGCTTTCCCACCACGAGCAGCAGACTCCCACATGGATGCCAAAGCTAGATTCGCCCCTGGCAGCGGTGGCAAACGCAAATGGCCAGTATCTCTGGAGCTTTAATAGCTTATGTGGAGCAAATATGCAGCACGAACCCGAACATCATGATGCCCTACTTCACTCCCTTTCGGACCCTGACTCCGCTCCCGATGAATGGCCTAAATGGTGATTCAAATGAAGTGAGGATGGATGATTTGCTTAATGATTTGGGTGAAGATGGCAATGTTGGTCGTATGTAATAACTTTTTATGAAAATTCTCTGGACGATTTCTGGACATCTTAAGCTTGTTCGTGGACAATTACTGGACAATTTCTGTATTCATTCGTGAAGGAAAATTTCTCAGTGGGGGTGTAAAGTCAAAGGATTTTGAAGTGAAATGAGGTGCAAAATCAAAGTTTTTTTTTAAAAAATGGGGTGCAAAGTTCAATATCATCCAAAATGTGGGGTGCAAAGTCAAAATCCCCCCTAATTTTATGGCAAAACGACTAAATTACGAAACTACATTAATATATATCATTCTATTATGCATCCTAAGAATTAAGACAATCTTATATAAGTTGTATGTGTGGATTATCGCACTCCAAATCTAATATTTAATTATTCTTTTAAGAGAGGATGGATGATTTGCTTAATGATTTGGGTGAAGATGACAATGTTGGTCGTATGTAATAACTTTTTATGAAAATTCTCTGGACGATTTCTGGACATCTTAAGCTTGTCCGTGGACAATTACTGGACAATTTCTGTATTCATTCGTGAAGGAAAATTTCTCAGTGGGGTGTAAAGTCAAAGGATTTTGAAGTGAAATGAGGTGCAAAATCAAAGTTTTTTTTTAAAAATGGGGTGCAAAGTTCAATATCATCCAAAATGTGGGGTGCAAAGTCAAAATTCCCCCTAATTTTATGGCAAAACGACTAAATTACGAAACTACATTAATATATATCATTCTATTATGCATCCTAAGAATTAAGACAATCTTATATAAGTTGTATGTGTGGATTATCGCACTCCAAATCTAATATTTAATTATTCTTTTAAGAGAGTATTCCCTAAATAGGAGTAAAAGCGTTTTGAAATTTCAAAGTAGGAGTATCATATTTTTTTATTCTCCAAATAGGAGTAAATTTCGCCAAGTTTGACATTACAAGGCTTTAAACATGTCATTTTTTCCAAACTTGACAAATTACTCCTATTCAAGGAATAAAACATTAAACTCCTATTTTAAAATTTCAAAACGTTTTTACTCCTATTTAGGACAATTTCTGTTCTTTTAATCAGAATACAATATTGAAATGTTTGCTGAAGTTATTTAATTATTCTTTTAATCAGGATATATTATTGAAATGTTTGCCGAAGTTATTTAATTATTCTTTTAATCAGAATATAATATTGAAATGTTTGCCGAAGTTATTGTTATTAAAAAATGATTTTTACAAATATACGAAATATAGGTTGATTGTTAAGTACATTGAAATAATGTGATTTATTATTAAATGCGTAAATTAGATATTTTAAACAATATGATTTGTAATATTTAAATTGAAGACTACACATATTTAATAGGGTTTTACTAGTATTTATTAGGACTTTGTGGAGCACAGCCCAACCTTGATGGGGTCTAAAAATTCTCTAAAGCCCAGAACCTGAGACATTCCGAAATCCAAAGCGGAAGTATGTTTTCCCGCTCACTAACTCTTGAAACATTTCTCCCTCCATTTTCTTCTCTAATCCGCAGTTGAAGTGCCAACCCAACCTAGCCCATTAACATCCCAAACCTTCATCCCCAAGACCACATAGGTGAGTACCCAAAATCTCTCTCCTGCTTATTTGCTTTTCTTTTCCATTTCAAATTTCAATCTAAGATTCAGGGTTCTTTTAATCTTTAAAGATTTGGGTCATTTTAATCTTTGAATTCCTTTTGTTTTGAATTTCGTTTTTCGCTGGCTGCTTTTACCATTTTCTTTATTTTAGATCTGCGACATGAATCATGATGTTTATCGTTTTCGTGCAGTAGTCAATTTGTGAAAACGATTCTTTTTCTTTTCAAAATCGTGTTTTTTAAATCCTGGCGAATCGCAGGCTTGTTTATGCGCGGACGTGATTATTTTTTCATTGAGTCATAAACCATTCAAAATTCGCTCTTGTTTTTCTGTGCAGATGTATTGCATTAGTTAGTCTCTGTTGTGTTCAATAGTTGAAGCACTTCTTCGCTGTTTTTGTTTTTGATTTGTAGTTGATAATAATTATTCCCGAAAAGTAAAGTTCATGATGGAAGAAGATAAAGTTTCTGAGGGATCCGGAAAGTCACGGCCTGTTTTGGGAGACATAACAAATCACCTGGGAAAAAGGGGTTTATCTTCGATTTTGGGTAGTTCAGGGAAAAAAGGTGGAGCTTTAGAGGGGGTGAAATTTGGATCTAAGTGTGTTGTTGAAGATAATAAAGGAATTTTCAAAAGAGCTCGTCTTTCACCTAAAAAATCTGCTGAAAACAGCCCTTTGACAAAAACAGCCATATTTGGCAATTCAAAGAACTCCACTGAAAACAACGACCCTGATTCTTCACATCTTGTTGGTAAACACAGTGCAACTTCCACGAACAGTAGTGAGAGCTTGAGTAAAGGCTGTGCAGCTTCCATTTTAGGGACCACAAGTTTGTTGGGTTCAGATTATCAAGATGTTGAGAAAACTTTTGATACTTATGAAGAGAGAGCGGCCAGTTCTGAAAGAACCGAAAGTGATACTAACGGATGCCAGAATGAAGTTGATGAGCAAGGAGCTGAAAATTTAGTAATAAGTCAGTCAGGGTCAATCGACCATTCTAGATTTCCTGACTCACAGGAATCTAGAGTTGGGCTTGAGAAATGCACTGGAGTACAGGTGGGTGATGGTTGCCCTGAACCTGTTTCAGGCATTGAATCTATAAAGTCTTGCTCTTGCACTTTTTGCACCAAAGGTAAGAGAAGCTCATATTATATCATGTCTGGAATATCCTTAGTAACTTTCCCCAAATAGGATGATCATTAGTTCTTACTTATGCACTCCTAAAAAAAGACATTTATTTATAGGATCAAGTGAGTTATTTTTTTAGCTTAAAACAACTCTCCTATTTCTGCATGTGACCTATATTTTATTTCTATCTTGCCATCGTATGGTTTTTGCTTTCATGCTTCTTAAAATCAAACTACTGTAAACAATCTTGTCTTGTATGTAATTGATGTGGCATCAGTTTTGCTTAATTTCATATGAAGAAGTGATACTGATGAGGTGTATGTTTCTTTTATAGCTGCTTATATGTGGTTAGACCTCCACTACCAAGACACAAAGGGCCGATTAGCTGGTCAGTCGCTACTAAAAATAAGTCATTTCTTCATATTATGATATTGAGACATTAAGGTTACATTTTTTGTTTCGGTGATTGCTGTTTTTATTTATAAAATTGTCACTACTTTTATCTTGAAAGCATTAAAGAAGAGCCAGAAAGAAGCAAGCATTTTAGCAGAAAGAAGTTGCAAGGGCAAGGCACCTCAGAGATATGTTTCAGCACACAACACTGATGTGCCTAACTTGGAATCAAGTTTATGGAATCAGTGGAGGTCTCTCTTCTTACACATGGAGAACATATATGAGTGCGAAACTAACCAACTTGTGAGTAGACCATCTTATTTCATAGATGATCTTATTTAATTTCTTTGAATAACTAATGAGCATTTGAGCAATGATCATCATGCATGTTCTGCTGTCCCATTGATTTGCCACAATGTGAGCATATTTAGATACTCTATATTATGCATGATCTCAAGCATCCAAATCTGAAATCTTACAAATGAAGTAATCACCCAGTGAAAACGTTGTTGCTTGACATTTGACAATATTTCCTTCTTGATTAAAAGAGGAGTTGCCATTTGAAGTTTGTACTTGCTTGTAGAGAAAGTTCCTTTATTATGACCAAAACACCACATATTTTCTATTTTTCTCAAGTAGCTTTGTACTGGTTTCTCCCCAAAAATAGAGCCAATTAACTCCTAGAAGAAGAAATTTTAACTGCATGTATTCTTTCATTAGAACTAAATGAGTCCTACTTTGTGACCAATAAGCGATTAGTCCTATTTGGTGACATGGTCCATGTTTTACTCCTTCCATAATGCGAAGTTTCTTATTTGTAGTGTCTATATGGGTTCTCTACATGTCGATTGTTGATCTATGCACTGATCTGGTTTATACAGAATCGAGGAAAGAACTGATATGTAAAACTCAATTGAAAAGGCAAAAAAAACTTACAAACTGAAACTTATTTTTTCAAAGATTAACCTATATAAAATCATACTAGGCTGTGTATTGGTAGCTAGGGCCACTAGATCAATTCAATTCCAGATGGGCATTTCTAAGTGAGCTAGACACCACTTGAGTGGCTAATGGTTGCTGAGCTCCTTCTACAACACTAGTGAGTTGGCTCATATAGTCATGATTGGAGAGCAGTTATGAAACTAGTTTATTAGTGCAGAATGATGTGCTTCATATTGAATGGTGTACATGTCTTCTAAACATGGCATGCTTTACTTGTCCTCCTTGTCATCCTAAAACAAAGTAACTCCATGTACTGTATACATAAATAAAAATTCAGGCATGAATATAGAATCTCCTACGAATTAAGTTCAAATGTTGTGCAAATTTCAATTAATTTAATATACTTTGGGTTTGGACAATAGAAGTATCCATTCTACAAATTGATGAATACATGACAATGAAATTTAGATGTCCCCTTTTCATTCTCTCATTTCAGTTCCTCCCATTATCTATTGATGCTAGTACATCGAGCATTCAAACAGACAATGATTTATTGGGATGATGAAGGATTGACATATCTGTATTTATGGAAAAATCGGTACTTTATTTTTGGAAAAACTGTTCATATTTTGATATCAATATCTGTTGTTTGGTAAGTAATGTACATATTGTGAGTCCGTTTTTTTAAAGGATATGAGATTACCACTATTAAGATATTTTTTTTATCCTACACAATATTTCTAACATTTCCTGACATTTTCCGCTGAGGTCCTATAGAAATATGGCACCTATGACGTTGATATCGGAGACTTAAAATACAGAAATGCCAATGGAGATTTCTGAAATATCGGATTATTTTCATCATTGGTTGAGTCTGAACTATGATTTTAACAAACTGTGATTTGCAGAATCACTGCTAGCTGTGATGGAACATCAAATATAAAATGTTGAGAACTAATGGTGCATTATTTGGTTGACAGGAATCTAGTTTGCTCTCCCTAACTGATCTCAAGGATAGATGCAAAGCCGAGCTGGAACTGATCAACAAGACTCCCCCGGAGAATTGATAAATGTTCTGATCTCCTCGTCCTGTTGTATCTGTAGTAGGTAGTGTTTATTCAAACGGCGGGTTTATTTTTATGTCACTCTTGTCTATAAAGCAGGTGAGGTTGCTGCGAGCTCTACTTGTACCCCTAGTTTGATCATTTCAAGCCAATGTAGTTATGTAGCCACCATATTAAGATTGGATGGTCTGTAGAATTTGTTACTGGTGTTTTCTTGTATTCATTTTAGCTATCTGAAACTATTATTACAGCAGAAAGAAATCCTTTATGCTAGGCCATGTTCTAAACAGGCCCAGACTTGTATTGAAATTTTCAGTTTTGAGTCTTGCTACTCAGATTGTGAATGGATTCAGCCCAGATCTGAAAGCTTCAAAACCACATCCCAAAAAATAACACTCCCTTTTACCTAAATACTCCCTCCGTCCCGCTATGATTGTCCCATTTTACCATTTCGGTTCGTCCCACTAAGATTGTCTCATATCTTATTTGGTAAAGTTTGTGTGGTTCTAAATCATTCCTACTTTATTCTTACTTTATCAATTCAATACCAACCACATAAACCCACTTTTATTAATAACCGTGCCACATTCTCTTGTCCCAAACTTAGGGGGACGGAGATAGTAATTGTTACACTTCTTTTGGATCTATACCAAATTAATTTTCTATCTTTTGGTTACGATGAATCTATCTCAAAATGACAAAATCAGATGAAGTACATTTTCAATTTTTAATAAAGTGCACATGAAAGTTACATTACCTAAACAGTGTACATTTTTCCACCTCTACATAGGCCCTATGTAGAGGTACAAAAATATGCATGGTTTAGGATCAGGGATGGACCCAGGCCGGTTCCGGTTCGGGCCTGGGCCCGGCCGGGCTTTTGTTTGGGAAGTAAGGAATCGGAACCGGCCCGGGTAATTGGCGGTTCCAGGCCGGGCTGGGCCGGTTTCCGGTTCAATTTTTTTTTAATTTTCTTTTGTTTTTCTAAATTACCCCCGACCCCCCTTCAACCCCACCCCCAAACCCCCCCAAAACACCTAGCCCTACCCGGTAGAAACCCAAAAAAACTGAAAAAAACACAAATTTGGCCCGAACCGGCTGGGCTGGTTCAACATTTTCAAGACTCGAGCCCGAACCGGGAGTTGGGTGGTTCTGGTTGGCCCAAACCGGCCCCAAGACCGGGTACCGGGCCGGGCCCAAACAGTACCGGGCTGGGCCGGTTCCGGGTTGGGCCGCCCGACCCGAGTCCACCCCTATTTAGGACTTTAGGTAATTGAATAGGCTTATTTCATGTCATAGGGATGGAATGGGTCGGCTTGATCCAGGCCCAGTACTGTTTAGGCCCGTCCTGATATTGTATGAGATTGTATGGGTTAGTTGATAGAAAGCAGCGATTGAGGCGGCACTGGTGGTGTTGGCGGTGTGGGAGTCAAATTTGTACAAAGATTATTTTTTGTTAGAAAAGTCATTGGAAAAATTTCACTGACCACAGTGACACAGGCGGCGGTCTTAGTGACATTGACATAGGAGTCAGTGACATTTGTGGTGGCAGAAGTGACATAGTCGGTGACATTAGTGACATATATAAGTGACATTAAAATTTGATAGTGACATCCACAGTGACACAAAAATATAAAGTGACATCAATTAGTTTGGTAATATTCATGTAAAAACTCTAGTTATATTTCTACGAACAATGAAGTGGGTAAAAAGTCAAGTATTACCAAATCATACTTCCATCTATAAGGTGGCGTGTAAAACAAAAAACACCAAAATTAAGAATATTTTTAATCTGACTTAAATTTTCCGGTGATCTGGTTTAGTCTGATTAGGTAGATGTTTTGTTTATGGTTGTGTTTGTCATTTAGTGATTAGCGGTTAGCGGATTATGTCAGTCGGTTGTGAATAGCGGATTTATTCAGCGGGTTTGACTAGCGAAATAAGTTGGCGGGTTGTCAAAAGATGTTTGATAATTTAGTTGTTTGACTATAAAATTAGTAGAAAATGCCACATTTCAAAATGTTAACTCAAAACTCTCTTATTTGTAGCGTTTCCTTTTCAATGCTTTCATGCAAAAAGGCTACTGCCGAACAGCTATTTACCAGATATTTTTTTCACTTATCGAATACGCTAAAAGTAATCGAACTACCATATTTCGGCTAAAATGCTATTTACCAAACATCCCTATGCATATTTTAGGCTATCGAAGTCTAGTGTGATATGTGACTAAAATGAGTCTAGTAATTTATATCATAATCAACTATTCTCTGCGTCCCACTAAATTTTGCAAAATTTCTTTCTTGTTTTTCCCAAAAATTTTATCACTTCCCTTTTATAGCTTTAAATCTGTGACTCGACTTATTTCTTTTTTTTTTCTGCACAAACTTCAATCACATAATTTTTTATAATTTTAATTTTTTTGAATTTCACGTATAAAATTGACAAAATTGAGGTAATAATATAATAATAACTTCTTTCAAAAAAAAAAAATAACTATACCTCGTACTACGTATGATTCTTGACGTGTCCGACTGGCCATGTTCTGCTACCTGCACCCTGAGAGCGACACGTATCATGACAGTGCCAACATATCCATTTTCAAACGTCTCTGAAGTCGATCACACTCTATTACACCGGTCAACGAAGCTTAACGAAATGAGATCGGAATCGTTGACTTTGGTCTTAGTCAACTTCGCGGCGATAATGGAGCGCGCCGACGAGTCCCTGCTGCCCGGAGTTTACAAGGAGGTCGGAGCTGCCCTGCACGCCGACCCGACCCGATTGGGCTCGCTCACACTCCTCAGATCCATCGTCCAGTCCGCTTGCTACCCACTCGCGGCCTACCTCGCCGCCCGCCACAATCGAGCCCGCGTCGTGGCGGTCGGAGCTTTTCTTTGGGCCGCCGCCACCTTTCTCGTTGCCATCTCTTCCACATTTGCCGAGGTCCGCCGCCGTAAACTCTCCACAGTTTTAAGGTGTTTGTTTTAGAAATAATGACAAATACGGAGTATAGGATTGGAATAAAAATGAATGCCAAAATGTGATTTCTATTTGTACCAGTGATCATGAGATTTCTTAAAGTGACTTCCATTATTTCCTATTTTTGTAGTGTTTTTTGGGATGCTATCACATTTGTGGATATTAGTTTTTGTTTTGCATTCCTGTTACTCGGTACCAATGTACCATATGCATTCATATTGATACTTAAAATTTCATATTCCTAAAATAGTAAAGAATTTCATTTGAATAGCAAAAGCCAGATTCGAAAATGATGACGATGTACTTTAGTTCTGTACTTCCTGTAAGATTGCGTACATCCGACCCTTACCCCACCGTAGGTGGGAGCCTTTGCGGCACTGGGGTAATGATGACGATGATGAGGGGTCGCAAGAGAATTAATTCGACTGTATTACAAGAACCTTAAACCGGGACAGAGGAAATTCTACTAATGAAGTAATTTTAAGTCTTTTTTTACTTATGTTTGGCTTGATATTAATACTATTCTCATGGGAATCATCTTTAAAGGAAAACCAGCAAATTTGGCTGTAAAGTTTTATTAGGACATGAGCTAGATTCGATTGAACTGATATGAATAGCTGTTTAATATCTTATATACTTCGTATTTGTTTAGTGTTTTAGATTTGTAACAAGTTACTTGCATTAACCAAATTTCAAACCTAATGGTCTACTTATGGTTTTCGATGCGTACCATATATAGGTAGCAATTTCTAGAGGTTTGAATGGGATTGGGCTTGCTATAGTTACACCAGCAATTCAATCTCTTGTTGCTGATTCAACGGACAGCAGCAACCGCGGCACAGCTTTTGGATGGCTACAATTTACTGGGAATATCGGAGCCATCGTTGGCGGGCTTCTATCAACACTAATAGCTGAAACGTCCTTTATGGGTATACCTGGCTGGAGAATATCTTTCCATCTAGTTGGATTACTAAGTGTCTTTATTGGCATTTTGGTGTATCTGTTTGCAAATGATCCTCTCTTTTATGACAGTGATGGAAACAAGAAGGATCATTCTCCACACAATAAATCATTTCACGCTGAAGCGGCGGAAATGATTAGAGAAGCGAGAGCAGTTTTAAAGATAGCATCTTTCCAAATACTAGTTGCTCAAGGGGTGTCTGGCTCATTCCCTTGGTCATCTTTGTCTTTTGCGCCCATGTGGTTGGAGCTTGTTGGCTTCTCTCACAAAACAACCGCTGTACTTTGGACTTTATTTAATGTTGCTGGATCTCTAGGAAGCTTGTTTGGCGGGATGATGGGAGATGTCCTTGCTAAACGCTTTCCAAATGGTGGAAGAATTGTTCTTTCGCAGATTAGCTCTGGTTCGGCCATCCCCTTGGCTGCAATTTTGCTGCTGATTTTGCCCGATGATCCTTCGGCGCCATTTCTACATGGTTTGGTGTTTTTTGTCATGGGGTTTTGCATATCTTGGAATGGTCCTGCAACTAACAAGTAAGTTTTCATAATGGTTTGTATTTTAACAAAATTGCACTGTAAATATTTTCACCTCAATAGTTTGTTGTTGTTGGAAAACTATAGGGTAGTTAAACCAGACCTAAATACTCTTTCATTCTCAATGTATGTCTCAGTGGCTCTTTAAAAATACATCTTAATGACTTTTGTAAAACAAAATGACACAAAATTAATATGTCGAAGCAGACACAAATGAACTAAAAGAAAACAGCATGAAATGGAGAGATGAAAAACAAAAACGAATTTGGTGGGACTTGAAAAAAAAGAAACACTATATTAGCAAGAATAACAACAACACTTAATTTTATGGAGTACTAGCTCTGTTTACCTATCATTTTTTTTTCTTTATTTGTGGGAGGAACGGTAACAGTATATCTACACTAGTCCAATACTTGCAGAGATAGTCCATGAGAGAGCTCGAACAAGCATTTATGCATTGGATAGATCATTCGAATCAATATTGGCATCATTTGCTCCCCCGGTGGTTGGCATTTTGGCTCAGCATGTCTATGGCTTCAAACCTGTTCAAAATAAATCAACGGGCTCCCAAGGAATCAAAACGGATCGGGAGAACGGTGCATCACTTGCCAAGGCACTTTACACTGCCATTGGACTCCCTATGGCAATATGTTGCTTTGTCTATTCATTCCTATATTGTACATACCCAAGGGATAGAGAAAGAGCTAGAATGGACGCATTGATACAGTCTGAGATGGAGAGTATTGATCCTACAACAGAAGAACGTGATGAACTTCGTACAAAAGAGCAAACTGTGATTAGTTTGGATTATGAAGGAGATGAAAGCTTTGGTTTTGATGAAAGCGATGGTGAAAGGCTTCTTCAAATCCCGATCAGAT